GTCCGTCCTCGATATAGCGCTGCAGTAGTCAAAATGGTTTACATTACGTCTATGAAAGCTTTCCTTCTTTATGTTTATATTCTTTGGCCCAACTTCTCTAAATCAGAAACTAGGCAGCATTATTTAAAGTTTACAGAGCGGCGGATTTAACATGCATTAAGTAGTGGGATGAAGCGACCGGTGTCAAAACTGTATTATTTATCATTTAATTCGTAATAGTGAAAATCGTTTAGCACGAAACTGAGGGAAACTGAAGTATTTTTTCGTGTTAAAGGATATTTAAAAAAAAAAAAAAAGAAAAGAAAGCACATATTCAACAAAATTAAGTTTTTTAGAGTACGTATGTGACATAGATACGTATATATGCATGTATTTAATAAAAATAAATGAAACAAAAACATCCGAAAGAACTTAATGAAAATTAATATCAGAATTTTCAAGCTTTTTGAAAAACAAAGCATTTATTGAGTTTTTGGGAAATAATCTGATAGCATCAAATTGCTAAACAATTGATGCTGAGGCTCGAGGAATGTTCATTTTTAAGTAAATTTTATTTTCACCGAGCTGAAGAGCAGCGCAGATGCAAAATAGTTGGATTTTTCACTGGCGTGGAGACTTCTTTGGCGGAGAGCTTCAATTTTTTAAGCGGCTGCTGTAGCAGAGAATAGACATTCTTTGGCTGTAGTTCAAGCTGCCTTCTGTTTTTCTGAGATGTGTTTAGTGAAGTATGCAACTACAAAGAGCTTAGTGAGGTAGAATTTTGGAGATTTTTGGCACGCTTGGCAACTTCCCGTTCTTCAGCCTACATGATATCTTCAAGGAAGAAACATAAACGAGTTTCCGTCAATATTATGAGTCTGTGATTTCCTTGAGTTCTACTGAGGGTGTATGGCAGCAAGCCATGTACAGTCATGGTTCGTACGGTCTTTAAAATACATAAAAGTCCTTAGGTTCTTTTGGAAACGATTTTTAGTCCTTGATTAAGGACTTTTACCGTAATTCCATCCAAAGCCGACGAATTGTTTTTTTTTTACAACTGCCATTTTAAGTATGAATCAACATTTTGGAGGAATACTTTTGGCGATGCATTGTAAAATATGTATTTGAGGGGTTAAGATTTAAATTCTTTCTACTTAATATAAACGGTGGATATTCGAGATTTAAGCACGAGGCCCTGCCTCAACTTAAACATAAATATTTCGAAATAATTTCTTTTTTTCCTAATATAGAGTTCATAAAATATTGCACCAAAAACAGTCTTTCACTTTTTTGGGATAAGAGTTCCTTTATTATGCAGCGCCAAATTTGGCGACTTATCAACATTTTGGCGATTTCATGATCAGCTCGTGTACAAAATTTTTTATTTGTAGGTTTGCGAATGTTTTGGCAATCTTTCTACGAACATATTAATATTGGTAAAGATCATAAAAATAATGATAATATATTAAAATTGTGGGGAAAGTGCACAATCACCCACTGCTTGGCGAGTTTTTAAGAATTGCACAAACTCAGTATCCATGTACAGATCGATCTATTTTCACTTTAAAAAAAAATCCCAGAATTGCACAAAAATGGCATTGCGCACTCCCTTGACTTGATCCATGTACACATTGACCTATTTTCGCTTAAAAAGTCAAGAAAATTGACAAAAATCCAATTCTTCTTACTCTTGTAAAAAGCGCCAAGCAAATAAGTGGGCGATTCTGCACTTCAGCCAAAATTGTATTTAGAAATAACAATAAAGTAAAACATTTTAATTTTCTTCTGCCATTTAAAGTGACATTACTTTCTTTTTTTCCTTGAAAGTTCACATTATACTTTTCCTTTGATTTGTTTTTTCTTCTTTTTGTCCTTACAGAGTTCGTTAGGTCGTTAAATTTGAAGTTATTTTAGATTTGCTATTATTCTTAGTGTATTTTTAGCTCTGTAAAAACCTAAAAATTTGTACCATGTTTTTTTAAATATAAACAAAATTTAAAAAATTAACATTAAAATTTTGTCCTTAACTATTAACATCTGCATTTTATTATTGGCTACCTTAATCCTTTTGGATATTTGAAATGCCTTGAAATAAAGTTACATAAAAGTTTGGACTGAGTGAGTACGTAACCCAAATAAAAGCATACAGAATAACCTATCAGGGTTAAACTGTTTATTTAAATAAAATTTCACTTTTTCTTATGTTGGACTATAAGTGTATAAAATAAATGTATCAGAAATTTTCAAATGTTTGAAATTTATGCAGTTTCTTTTATTTGAAGGTATTTCTAATTAAGTTAAATATTAGATGTTTAATAGCAATACAGATTTTTTTAATTTGTAAAAATTTAAAAATGCAGTGTAGATAATTGCTTTATTTCTTATTGCTGGTTAGAGCCTTTTTTTTTTGATTGTTCCCAAATGAAAAGTACGTTTTTTACAAAAATGTGTACGAAATTGCTAAAATTAAAGAGAAATTCCAACTTTTGCAAAGATACTTTGATTTTACATTTGAAACAACAAAATAGTTATTTCATGGGATACTTAAAATTTTACATTCTTTTAAATTTGAAAGCATATGTTGTCTAGTGTTACAAGCAGACAAAATGTACAAGCATATGCTATTTTATTAAAAATAGCACTTAGTTTTCACAGATGGTTTTTTCACAGTTTATGGTTTCTTTTTCGCCAAACCAAAGTAATGCAACAAGTCTGAAGAACATAAACAGTGTGGGTAGAACAGTAAGTGGCTGGTTTTTTCATCTTCAAACAGTACATTTTGTTTTATTCCAGAAAGTGACCATGTGAGGTGATTAATATGCTTTCCTTGAAGGAAATATTCATATAAGTTTTTAAATGAGAATGTACTCTATCCTAGAGAAAACTACTGCTTTGTCCAAGCAAATATAAGAAGTTTATTGAGGAACTTGACTTTTGAATTTAGTTGACTGAACAGCCACTGCAAAGAAGTTTATTGATTAGTGGGTTTAAGGAACTCGTATCAGAACCTTATAGTTCAAAGGGAAAAGATGGTGAAAGCAGAAAATAAATGTAAAGCAAATGCCAATAAACAATATACACTGGTGTGCAAAACTTAAGCAACAGGTGTTCTTTTTGCCATAACTACACGTGAAGTCATCTGAGAGACATGAAATTCAAAGTTGAGTCATTTTATATTTAAATGAGGATGAAAGCATAGTTGCACAAAAAGATATGCAGGCATACGTATTGAACTCAGTGCTTGAACTCACATGATATTGATTGTATAAGAGGAAGAACAACAAGCAGATGTTCCTTAGTATGGGATATGCCCTCCCCTTACTGTAATGGTTGCTTTGCACCATCTCTCCGTACTCAGCACCAGATTGTCCAACAGATGTTGAGGTAAGAGTGCCCATTCCTCAATTAACATCTGTTTCAGTTGTTAGGTGTTTCTCGGAGCATGTAATCATGCCACAAGGTGTATCCCCAAAGCATCCTACACATGTTGTATGGGATTTAAATCAGGGAAGTATGTTGGCTCATTCATTCCAGTGATATCTTCACTTTCCAGTAGCTTTGAACAGCAGGACTCTTGTGTGGCTGTGCATTGTCATCCATAAAAATGAAGTCTGCTCCAGTTGCACATCAGAACAGATGCACACGGGGAAGGATCACCTCCTGACAGTAACTATCTCCGGATACAGAACCTCTGTTGAAAACATGGATCTGTGTCCGCCGGTTCAGTATAATGTTTCCCCAGATGGGAACTGCATGACCACCATAATGTTCTCTTTCTGTGCTGTTGTTATGATGAAATCGTGTCCCAACATTTCTCCATATCAACTGGCATTGAGAATCGCTTGTGGCACTAAAACGACTCTCATCCGTAAAGAGGACACAACTCCATTGATAAGCTGTCCAGTTTTTGTGCCCCTTGCACCTCTCTAAATGGTGGCGCCAATAGCTAACTTTCAAAAGGATGCAGCGTTCAGGACAGCGGGCGAATAGGCCACCCTTGTGAAGGTGTCAGGACACAGAAAACCATGATACTTGTCACCACGTTGCTGTGCACAGTTGCTAAGCAATGGCGCTTGCTGACTTGTTTCGGCGTCTTCAGGATGATATAGGTCATCCACTGCAGTTGCTTTCCTGGGGTGGCCACCACCAACCTTTCTAACAGCAGCAGGTTTGGAAGGTTTTCCAACCACGTAAAAGGACACTTTCGTTGATTTCGAACTCTTCAGCTACACTGGTCACACTATGCCCCTTCTCCAGCTTTCCGATCATTCTCCAACGAGTAAAGTCATCCAGGTGATTTCTTCTAGTCATATTTTACAAAAGAACTCATTTACACTTGCAGCGAATGTGTTTAATCACGTTTCCGTCCTTCCTTTTATTGTAGTGTTGAGTTGAGTGCGCCGACTGCACGTGTTTTGCGTACACTTGCGTCGCCTGTGATGTTTTGTTCCTGACATTTGCATATGCATGACCTTTCTACTGAATTGAGTGTTCATTGTACTGATCGCAAGAACCCCTTTTCTGCAATTTCATAGCTATCTGATTAAAATTTACATTGTTGCTTACCAGCGTATTAAGGTTGTTTGACCATATTTTTCTGAAGACAGAAATGGAACACTATTGAGCTTACCATTTCGATAATGCAACTGATATAAATGTTTAGTAATGCTTGAATGTTGACTATTTTGTTTCAAGGCAACACATTTAGTTTTAATAAATGCATTTGTATCTAATTATGCTGAGTGTCTAATTGCGTGTAGTTGTGCTTAGCTGTGAAAAGAAATACTGTGGTTCCATAGTGTGCAATGGAAAAGGGCTTGTTTCAGGAGTTTATGCCATGATGATGTTTCCATAATGTAACTTAATAATTAGTACCTTAAGTAATAGTCATCTGCTTGAAATGTCCAATTTTTGTTTCTTGTTATTTAATAATAAAAGATGAAATCTTATTAAAGTTGAAAATGATTAATATCATTTGTGTGTGATGTATTTTAAAAGTTTTTTTAAAATTTTATTTCCAGGGATTTTACAGAGGTGGATGTTTTACTTTCAGCTTTAGAGTCAGTCCGAATTACCCTCATGAGCCTCCAAAAGTCAAATGTGAAACAATGGTATATCATCCTAACATTGATTTAGAAGGCAATGTATGTCTAAATATTTTAAGGTGTGTATTTGATTGAAGGTATTTTTCTTGAAACATCTGTTACATTCCTGATTATTGTCTAATTATGTACTACATTTTTAATCGCATGCTTTATGTACATTTCAGTGTCCATTAAATTTAATTAATATTTATTGGCTCAATATTATTTAATATTTTATTAGTACAGTACAAAGTCTCTAATCCGGACGTCCATTATCCGGAATGATCTATAATCCGGACCTCAAAGCCACAAACTTACGCATGCGCATTTGATGCACGTGTCTGCTACGCATGTGCGTAAAGCCAGTAAAGCATTTACCCATGCGCGCTTCTGATAGTGAAGAAAGTAACAGAGAACATTATTGAAAGCGAAAAAATTTTTATTGACAAGTTAGTCGGTATTCTCCACACAGCAATCACAGGACTTGAACTGTGGAACTTTGTAACTGAACAAGAAATTATGTCTGTTTATAGAATTAAAGAAAAAGTATTAGCACAAAAAACAAAGCAACTTAAACAACTTACATTGATAGAAATGTTTACTAAAGTAAGCAAATAAATATTAAGCTTTTTTTTTTTTTTTTTTTTGTAAATTTTGATACCCTTTAGATCATAATTGCTCTTTATTTCATAAATTATGGTTCCATATTTTTAATTCTATAATTTCTGCATGCCATCTTACCAGATTTAAATTGATAATTTATAATCGGGGAAAAACCCTAATCCGGAGTCGCCGAAGTCCCGACAAGTCCGGATTATGGACCTTGTACTGTATTCCTTTTGTTAAGAACATTATGCATTACTAGCTCCTGGTATGTGTGATCACGTTTGTTCGAATCTATAACTGAGCTACCTAAAATGCAGTTGTTAATTCAACAATGACATTCTTTGATTATTCTATCACTTTTCATTCTAAAAAACTCTATGTACATTTACATTGATTGGAGTAGATTGATCAGTTATGCCAAAGCATGGGAAGACTGCCTGTCTGAGACAAGTAATGGGGGAAAACTATGAAACTCCTATGCATTCTGCTTTGTAAACTGCTGTGAACTGAAACAAGGATCAGCACAGAGTTGTATTCATTTGACTGTTGGTGGGGCTCAGTTGGTTTGAAGTTCACGTTTTTGTCACGCTTCAGATTTTGTTTTGGCATATTTCTGTACCAGAAAAGCCTGGTGGCATCAGTTAATGGTATCTTAAAAGAAATGTTTCCATAATGGCTTGTTCATGGTTGATGGGCATTTCAAGGTAGTAGTTAGTGATGGATGCTTATGCAATCAGTTTGACAATTATAGTACCCTTCCCTTAAGAAAGTGCATTGGTTAGTTTTAATGTTATAAATGATACTAACATGCAGGATTTAATCCATTTGCTCTGTTAATATATTATTTACCCTTATATGCCAATATTTTATTATGTTTTAAGGTGCTAAAATTGTTTCTGAATTTAACAATTATTTTTTAAAGCAGTGTAATATTTTGATCTTCATGGTGATCATATTGCAATGCTAATCATATCTATTAATTTATTACATCCATTCTGGTATTCATTGCTTAAATTTCTCTATGTTGAAACTGCAGTTGCTTTCCTGGTAAAATTTTCTTCTCCAAATTACTTAAATACTTTAAACAAAGAAATTTTGATTTGTTTTTAAAATGGAACCTACTTTTTTAACGCTTCTGAAAATTTAAGTGTTGTATGTTATGCTAATAATGCTAATAAGTAAAAAAAAATGTTGTTTATGTTTTGCCTTTGATTTGTGTTCCATAATTTCTCTATGTTGAAACTGCAGTTGCTTTCCTGGTAAAATTTTCTTCTCCAAATTACTTAAATACTTTAAACAAAGAAATTTTGATTTGTTTTTAAAATGGAACCTACTTTTTTAACGCTTCTGAAAATTTAAGTGTTGTATGTTATGCTAATAATGCTAATAAGTAAAAAAAAATGTTGTTTATGTTTTGCCTTTGATTTGTGTTCCATAATGTATCTGCATTATTTTAATCATGGAAGAAGGAAATATCTGTATTATTGATTTATTTCCTTCTTTCTCAGTTTTGTCATCCTAAGATGGTAGTAGGCATGCATACTTGGAAAAGAAATATCATTTCATTTGCTTTTGAAAAATGTAGCAGTAGCAGTTTCTGAGAATTAAGTGCTTTTATTTATTGTTGCATTATGTATTTTTTTCCATAAAAAATGCTTAATCCTCAAATAAAATGTGACTAGAGGGTTGTATATGGCTTCTAGTCTTGTCTGATATTTGGATAAAAATAATTTTTCAGAAACACTTTCTTGCATGGCATATATGTGCTGCATGCTGCATTTTATTTTAATTTTGATCAGAATCTATGTGGGTTTCAACTAATTAATGTTAAACACTTTAGTTAGGGAAGAAAATGAGGGTTTTTGTTGTATATTTTCTTCAATGAAAGGGTTTAGTGTACCTCATATTGAACAACTAAAAAAATTTTCAATGAATTGTTCAAATGATATGCTTCTAAACATTTTTTATCGTAATCCTTAGAAAAGTATCTGCTTGATTATGGTAATTTTATTCATAGGATTATTTAGAGGAAGAGAAGTGAGAATAGTAGAATGTTCGAGATCTGGAATCGTTGGGATTCCGGCTATTCCAGATTTTAGATCATCAATTTAAATCTAATAAGATATTGGGGCTTAGCTAATGGTTAGGTCAGATAGAGGAATGCTAACTCCCAACAGGGCTGGCATTGCAGCCAGTGCAGTCACACTGGGTGGCAAAATATATAGTGCCAGACTTCCTCCCTCCCCATAACCTCTCAAGGACCAAAAGTTCTGTTGACTAGCCAAATGTCAGTGAATGTATTGTTACTGGCTAGGGTTCAACTCATTAGCCAGCAGGTGTTTGAAATAGACATGAAAAAATCTCACTCTGGAGAAAAGTCATATTTATGGTACATTTGCTTTGTTTAGTATTATATTTTCTAAGGGGGAGATTTTTTGTATTATTTTAATTTATTTATTAGTTGGTAGCCTGGAGATGGGGATATTGGACTTATGGATTTTGGACTTAATATTATATAAAGAAATTAAAGTTTCAGACTGCTTGTACTAAATATAAACTTCCTATAATGAGCATAGATTGCCAGTAGTGAATGCACACTGTTATTCAAAATTTAAAGATAATTTAGAAAATGATGCTTAACAGTGCAGATGTTGACTACAATTCACTGAGTGTAATTTATGGTGCAACTGAAAACAGAAATTTACTATTGTGCAGGTGTTTGTGTGTAGAATTTGCAAATAAAAGAAAAATCATGAAAGAGAGTTTGTTCAATATCTCATTTAAAAGTGAAGTTTGGATGTCAGTAGACATAACTGGATCAAATGTAGTTGGACATCTTCAGAGAGCAGAATATTCCAAGCTTGATCTTAACAACCTGGAATTACTTTTTAGTGCAGGAAGTCAGTTATATTGCTAATGAGTGTCATCTGAGGTTAGCTGCTGCAGCAACTGATGACCATTATATTTTATTGTGGATACAAGGAAACTGTGGTGGACCACACAAAGACGAGAAATTCATAAGTGTGGTCCCCCCTCCTACAAGTGACAGTGTTCAAGCTGTTACAAGGTGTGGGATAACAAGCTCTGACATTGGAAAAGCAAGAATTTTTTTCAGTTAATGGCTTCACTTTACATTACAAGATCATAACTTTATGGCCAGTATCAAGAGATTTTAGTGATCTGCCTCTGTCACCAAAGCCTCTCAATTTCAGGATGGCTGATGGACCAGTGATATTGTTGCTGCTCTAATATTATTTCAACTGTAATAAAATGAAGGATTTAAAACACCAAAAGCACCAAACAACTGCAAAACCATAAATCGACCATGGCCTCCTGGCTGCTACAAAACCATTACATAACTCCTAGACATTTGGCTTAAGACCTTTCAACAGCCACTAGGGCTCTAATAACTTCTAAAAACCTTGCCAAATCATATCTCTATGTCTCTTTATGGAAATCCTTTTGTATATATAAAGCTCAGTGTGCCATCTTGCATGATTTGCCCCCTAAACAAGTACGCTTTCATCATGGAAACTGTGTCTCTTGTGGAGTTGTAATGGAAATGTGTGTGTCCGGTCTCTCTTCCCATTGAAAGGATATACAGAATCGGTGTTTAAATGAAATATGGGCTAATATTTGAGCAGCATTTGGAAGTACTACTCTTTGCTGCACTGACAGTGAATTTTATACCATCTTACATACTGTTGTTGAAGATACTGAAAGTGGGATACATTGTAGTGATCATCTTCTATAGAAATCATGCTTTTGAAATCTTAAGTTATACTACTAAGTACTACTGATACAACTAGACTACTGAGTTCTCGAACATTTAGCAGTTGCATTATTTTTTGTGCATGTACCAACAGTGAAAAATAATGTACTTTAGATGCGGCAGTTACTCTCAAATAGCCTTGACCACCAAGATAACTGCAATTCCAGATTTTATGGATATCATGCTTTAAGGAAGATTTAGTTCTTTGGAGATATACAGCTGAACAATCATCATTTCTGGACTTTATTTAAATGTAGTTCAGTCTGAGCTGTTTGAAACTTTATCTTGTACTCAACTAACCTACTTTAAATCATACAAAGAATCCCGTAAAGATAGATGGCTTCTTGCCGCGTTTTACTTTTAAAATACAGTAAATAGGAACTCGTTAAAGTAAACCCTTTTATTAACACATCAGCCTCATAACTGCATAAAACTGATAACATTACCAAAAAGCAAACCTCTATAGCATGCAGGAAGTTCAGAACAAATGCTAAAGTTTAAATATTAAATAGACAGTAATGTGGACTTAAGAAGCTTTGCCTTGAGGCCTTAGTAATAAAGTAATTCAAATAAGTAGCAGGAAGCTGTTTCAAAGTAATATTCCATTCAGCAATAGAATGCTACCCATTCATCTACTGGATGAAGCCCATAACAAATAACCTAGCCCTGCCTTCCATAAAATAAGAAATGGGATATGTGACTCTACATGAACTTGGCTACTACAAATAAGAACATTCAAACTTCTTATCAAAATATATTATTTGCATGTAGCACTTTAAGAACAATATTCATCTCACAGGCAAATTTAGCATTTACATTTCAGAATCCAACTAGAGTTTATTTCCGTGTTGCCTTAAAGATGTCAAAGTGTTTTCACAGAAAAAATTTTGGGGGTAGACTTGAGGCTATCTGAGAGTGAGGAAGGAAATTCTATTTTGGGGGATGAATTGGAAAAAGATTGTTTTGTTGAATTTGAAAATCGTGAATTCACAGATAATGACAGAGAGGAAAATGAGGAATTATCATGTGGCAGTAAAGATGGAAAAAGAAGCAGTGCTTGAGAAACAAACCAAAGAAGGTGAAAATATGAAGCTAAAAAAGAAAATGCTAAGAAAGTTGAAAAATTCCTAAATTCTTTTAGTCATGACAGATCTGTTATCTGCCCTGGTAAAATTTAAGCTCAGTGGTAAAGATAAGTCAAAGTAGTCATCTGTTCCTAAATCAAGCAACAGAAGGACAGCATCTTGCAATATTATTCAATTTATTAATAGATCGAAGGCCTGAGCCACAGAAGGGACCATAGATACATTGGATTAGATGTACTACAGTGTGTCGTACAGTAGAAAAACTCGCCCTCTTTGTGTGTTATATGGCATGAAAAATATCAGTTTAATGAATTAACATGTTATATATGTGCATAATATGGCTGAAAAATCCCAGAAGGCATTATTGAGAGAAAAGTTCACAATAAAGCTAAGTGAAGATGTTACTTCAACCATGAAAAAGCATTATAACATACCAACTTTGTCTTAATCAACAAGACCAATTATAAGGAAACTGTTAAAATTAGATTTGAACATTCATCCTTCTGAACAATCTGATGGTAAAAAAAGAAAAATGTGTGCATTTTGCAAACATGCTGAAGTTTGACAGAAGTTTTCCATCTTTCTGCACAAATTGTACACGCTGCACAAAAAGCAATGTGACACAAATTGTGCTTCTACACAGAAAGGAATGTGAGAAAAACATCATGCTGATACATGTAAAGACTGCTTTGAGATCAAATGAATGATACTTTCTTGCTAATTTGAAGTTTGAGAGTTGTGAAATCATCTGCAGGTTGAATTCATTTAATTAGCTTTTAAAGTATATTTTAAACATGGTTACTATTCCCGTAAGTTTTTCAAAGGATAGCATTCTAGGATGGTTGTTGTGTTGTCCATATTGCATGGAACAGTGATTGCCAGAGCCTACTCCAAAGAGAGGTTGGACTTCTAGTTTCCACCCCAATTTTAAGGAAAAGCATCTGGGGGGTCTCTCACCCCTCTCCCCTTCCACCAATCCACACGAGAGGACTTTTGGCTTGCCACATATTTAGAGTGCTGCACCAACATCACTTACAAACATCTATGTGTTTTCCGGGATTCAAACCCGGGCCCTTTGGTACCATAGTAGGCTCCTCTAACTGGTCTGTCTCTGTCTGGGTGTCCATTCTAGGGTTAATCAAAATGAGTACATGAAGTTAATGCTCTCTTTTATGTACATTGAATGCTTTCTTTTATGATTTGCTCTGTTGCCATATTTGCATACACAATTTGAAAATACCATTGCAGCAGTACGTTTTTGTGTTCTGTAGTATGCATTTACACTCAGTGGTGTTAAAGTATACTAAAAAAGCAAATAATAATAATATATGATTTATACACTCAGTGGTGTTAAAGTATACTAAAAAAGCAAATAGTAATAATATATGATTTAGTAAATAATTTCTGGCAACAGTGAGTGTTGTCATTAGGAGATCATGTTTTCATGGTTCTGTTATTTGAAAGATATAATTTAATTCGTAATTACAAATAAAACTTCGTATTTTTTACTGTGCTATTTTGTTTCTTCTTTTAGTTCTAGAAACACTTTTGAAGTGGTATTTCATTCAGTCTGTACAATTAGTATCAGTTTATAACTAGATGGAAGAAATATAATCAGGCATCTCATTTGATTTATATTGTACAGGTGGCATCAGAAAATTTTATGCATAGGTTTTTAATGTTGTTTTTTCTTTTTCATGCCACTAATAAAAAAAATTATTAGTAGCATGATTGATGCCACTAATAAAAAAAATTATTAGTAGTATGATTGGAAAGTAATCAGATCATTTTTATTTTTAACCTCACTTTATTATATGCTGTCTTCATAGAAGGGCATTTCTTATTTTAAGATTTGTATGATATTAAGTTGTACTATGACTTGCCAAAAGAGCAAACAACTCAGTAGCAGTATGCAACTCACTAAAATTTAAGAATGTGATAATTTGTATCCAACAGAAGTTACCAGAACTGGAATACAGAATGGTAGTTGGGGCTGAATGCACAAGGCTTAACATTTTTGAAGATATTGAGATTTTAAGATTCCTCACTTCATTGTATTAAAGATTCTTGAAGAGTACTTCATAAAAGGCATTGTTTTCCAATAGGGGATCCTGTAGTGTTTGGCCATGTCCACCGAATAATTGAGACCATTGTTATGTGAATAGTAAAAGGTAAAAGCACAGCATGAAATGAGTATCACAATCAGTGAAGGGTGCTCCAAAGATTTTGTTCATCCGGACTGCATTGTGAAATTTAGCACTCATTGGCTATGGGCTATTCCAGCAGCAGAGTGAAATGAGTGCCTCTACTCACACTTTTGACTCTTTCAAACATCGAGCAATATTATCTAGGAATATTGTTTTAGTTTCTTAGCTTGAAATTATTGTAGAAGAGCAATTTTAGCATCTAAATTTTCCATTCTTTTTATACTTACTTTGATATATTTGTATTAGTTCTTCATCAACTGCAAAAGGCAGTGGTGCAGATAAAAAATAAGAAAATGTTCCAGTTCAAATAAAATGAATAGCATTACTTCATGTTCAATACCAGCTGCTTGAGGTTCAGACCTGACACTAGTTCAACAATTTTAACATGCAATGAGAATTAACAAGACAATTCATCTTAATCTGTAGGACAGTCTATGAACTTTCAAAGAAGGAGGAGGGAAAGCTTTGTAACCAAATTTAGTGAAGGATTGCATTTCGTGGAATTTAAAAAGTCTTGTTTTAATATGGTTATTTAATAGTTTTTTAATATCATAATCATTTGAAAATTATGCTACATAATTTGGCAACAACTCTTAGTGTTTAGGACATACTTATTGAAATCTTAAGGTGGCAGTTTTTTTCTGGCTGTATAAAATGCGGTTGTACATATTGTAATAAAGAACTGAAAATAATCTTGCCCATATGTTAACACCTTGCCTCAATAAATTCATCAAACACTTTATTAATGAAGTCTTATGTTATTTTCAAATAAATCCTTTTTGTCACTCTATTTGTGAAAAAAAAAATATTGGCTGTGAATTATGAAAATCATTTGCACAGAAATTATTAACTAATAATTTTTAATCCTCTCTGATTAGTTATATGAACTGGATATTTAGCATGATTTTATATGTATCCATGTATGATTTCCTTTTTTAAAATGCTGTTACTGCCAGAAAAATAGCTTTTTTCCTTTTATACGGAAAAATGGCCTTTTTTTTATTTATTCTGTGTGTTTTTAAATTAAATGATCATAATTTTCTACGTATTATTTTTAGGGAAGACTGGAAACCTGTATTAACCATCAATTCTATTGTGTATGGTTTGCAGTATTTATTTTTGGTAAGTATCAAAAATAGCATAAAAACAAATTTAAGTCTTTTCAAAATTTTAACATTTTACCTCACAACATTTTAATTATTTTCATCCTTTTACATACTGTTTAGTTTGATGCAACAACTTAAATGGTGACTTAGGAGTGAATGTTTATGTTTAGAGGTGATTGTCATTTACCACTGTATTTAATTCAGCCATTCAAGTGGTGATAAAGGAGTAAATGACTTTTATAAACGTTCCTTATTACATTTCAAGTGCATGATTTCTTATAATAAATGCTACTGTTTTAGGAGGCATTTTCAAAGAATTAGGTAAATTCCCTTTGTGGTAAATAGCCTGAAAGACCACCATATTCTGCATCCTTCACATTTTCTTTAAAGGATTCAATTGTTCTATATATTAAGCTTACACTTCATCTGTATTTATGATGAAAAGTGTATATTTTAAATTTGTTCTTCATTGCTTTACAGTATTTTAAAATTAATGAAATTTCCACATTTTTTAATATATTATGGCTTTTGTTATGAATGAAAACTCAAAGTGAATCAAGTAGTGCTGATTTAGTTCTTATATATGTAGAGAGCCCTTTAGCAGACTAGATATGAAACTTGTATCTATTTCCCTGCCCTTTTCCCACACCAAAAAAAATATGTTATCATGCTGTGGAATTAAAGTATGACTGATAAAATTCAATAATTTAAAAAAGGATCATTGCATGGATTTTTGTAATGTAAATTTGTTTGTTTGTTTGTTTGTTTTTTAATATTACATGCAGAAAAGTCTTCAGTTTATTTAGAATTTATTAAAAAAATTGCTTTTAGTTCTAGTCATTATAAAATCCACCTGACTTCTTTTGTCAAAATCTCAAGCCAAATCTGTATGTAGATCAAAAGAATTTAAGTTTGGTCCTTCGTGGAATACATTTGCTGTCTGGTATATTTGTGTGCATTTTAACAGCTGTTCTGTGAACAGAAAACTATTCCAATTCTAATTTATGCGGTGTTGCTGGATTAATATGCCATCAGTTATAGCAACTAGAAGCAAAATACTTTTATTTAGTTTTGTGACATTTATAAAAGTGATAATCTATAGAGTATGAAAGCTTTCTCCGGTAAAGAATGGGGGATGCCTATTGTGAAAAATAGATGAGGTCATCTGCCTTTCACAGTTGAGAGACTGTGCAGATTTAAAATTGGCGGTTTTTCAGTCTTATACGATATTATTTATTCGCTGTTAATGAAAGGTTACCTAAGATTTTCTGTATTTTGTTGCAGTTTATTTGGGATGTATGTTTCTGGAAAAAGTTTATCAAAAATTAGCTGATTAAGGAAGTACATTTCAACATCATACATTTTTGCGACTAACAGAGACATTTGTAGTATTGCAGTGATTTATAGAATAGTTTGAAAATACTGATTTTATTTATATCATGTTCAATGTTTTGGACACGGAAAAGTATTAAAATAATTGATTAAAAATACCTTATTATAATAGTTAAAAGCGAATTAAAATCTCTATAGCAAGCTATCTACACCTGAGTAATTCTCCAGATTTTGATAGAAGAGTAACATTCTTTGTGAAGAATATACCTGTATGCCTACTGGTTATTAATGTGTATGCTAAACATGTTTTACAAGCAATTTTTTGTAGTGAAAAAAGTGATGTAATCCAGGGAAGAAATGGAAGCCTGAATAGCAGTTAGGTGCAAAATTTATCTTCAGTAGGTTATGAAGGCAGAGATACAACCAGTTTTCTGAAATGCGTAATTTGATTCATTCATATTTGATAAATAATTCTTATACATCAAAATTGTAGTCACCATTCTGCTAATCTTGTCAGTAGATCATTAAAATTTCAGTTAAGAACAAAAGCATTCAATTAAAAATTGAAGCAGAATTTATGGCTGCTGGAATGAATCATTCATTCTAATGATTTCTGCCATATAAGCAGATTTTCATCGAGAATGGTTCTAGGGGCAGTTAATTATGAAAGACAAAAACTTATTGAAAGACGTTATCTTTTATGAAAAATATCATTGCTGCCTTTTAAAAAAGATTGCCAAAGACTGATAAGTTTTCATAGCAGAAGAGAAGCTTTTTTAACTTCAAAATACACTTAATAATTTCTCTCATGATTCTTTTCATGAAAGGCAAGCAGTGGAAAGGTAGAACTATAATTAGTTTAGATCAGACACTCGTTTACATTTCTATCTAGTCGGTGTTACATGATCATTATAGGTTTAATTAATATTACATTCTTGTGTTAAGAATATTTATATTTTGAGTTATGTGTATTGTAAAATGAATTCATTGTAATATTTAACAGGAACCTAATCCAGAAGATCCTCTGAATAAAGATGCAGCTGAAGTTCTTCAGAACAATCGAAGAGTTTTTGAACAAAATGTCCGAAAAGCAATGTCTGGAGGTTATATTGGCACCACTTACTTTGAACGTTGTTTAAAGTAGTGTAAAATATGAAAGGACATTTCTTAAAATTGCTTCCATATGCCAACACATTTGTTTGGGTTAAATTACATTCATGTACATGCATAAATACTGATATTGATACTCATATTTCAATTTTATCTTTTAACTGTTCCCTGCCCCCGTGACTTTTATTGAAAAAGTTTAAATATGTGTTTGTATGTCAGTCTGCAGTACTTTATTATAATTATTTATTAAAGAGATGTTTTTCAGTATTTAATTCTTATAAACTGAAAATTAAATGTTTTGTATAAGTGAGTTTTGTCGTTTAGCATGAGAAAGGTGTTGTCTGCAATAAATGAATGACATTTATACTGACTGAATTTCCTGTTTAAAAATCCAGCTTCTGTTTGATTTGATTTGAAACTGACACTGGGAGAAAAAGTGTAGAAAACATGGAATTTCCACTATTGCTCATTGTATTGAATTTTTTCTTTTCCTGTGTTAGTTTATTGAAAACATTTCAGTTAAGTCCATTCTTTTTTTTTTTTTAATATCTTCAGGAAAATTGTTAAGATTAGATTAGACTAGATATGCTGTTACTTCTAAAATGAGCTCTTTGAGGACATAAAAAATGTTATTTTTATCTTGCCCATCCCCATCTTGTGCATTTCATTAATTTTCAAATGTGTTATGCCCAGATCAGTGGCATTCAAGTTCATGTTAAAAATTATTTGCAAAAATTACAGTAGGCAAAGAAATCTGAAGTTAATGGCTCCTTTTAGAGCAATTAAAAGTAGAGATTTATTTGCTATGTTTTCAGAACTGCTTGTGTACAAATACTAAATCTATGACACTCAATATATTTCAGATAGGCAGCTAAAATGCATTGCTATATGTTTTCTTCAGTTATGATGACCCATAATATAATGAAATACTAATGTACTTTAAATACTCTGATGTGCAAAATTAAACTAATGTAAATTTTCTCGTAATAGGTCAGTGGTCTAGTCAGTGGTCTGCCTTAAAAAATGTTGTGAGCTTCTTTGGCCATATAATGATTATTAATATTTATTTAATTTTTGCTTGGCTTTATAGAACTTTTGTTATTTTTTAATGTGTAGGAGCATGTAGTTGATTTTTTGTTAAATCCTTTAAAGGGAAAAGTTAAAACATGCATTAAAAATCTGATTTTAAACCTTTTAACATTACACTTGAATAACCTAATTAAGTTCCATCTGACATTTTTTATATTAAAATCTTGTTGTAATGATTGCCCATATCTGCGAATGAATAGTGTAATCTTATCTGAGTTCTGACAATGCAACTATCTTCAAATGAAAGTCATGCCATGCGAACTAATACATAACTAAAATTTGTTAAGCACTGCTGACTGAAAATTCCGTATATTTTTATAAAATCAGAAGTTACAATATAAATGAATGGGAAGTATTTCTTCATGAAGTTTAGGTAGTCCATGCCCTTGTATACTTTTCTCACCATATATACTAATTAAATTTATCCATTACAAAATCAAAAAGTCAACACCCTTCTTTTGTTAAAAGTAAAACATGTAAACAGGTTATTTTATGATGTTTTATTGTTCTAAGATTGTTTTTGAGAATTGAAAATCGTAACTCATCTTCAGCATTTTTATTTATTGGACATGGTGCCTATAATAAATCTGTTTAACAAGCTTCAAGCTATTGAGTAAGTTTATTTGAAAAAAGACACAGTGCTCATAGTCAGTTTATTTTATACCATCATGTTAAGTGCCCCCTTCCATAAATTTCAGTTGAGCATAGAAAACAAAGATTCTGCATAGTTTCCTCTAGTTAAAATTTCTGCTCTTTTAGGAAATGGAAGCGATTCCTAAAATTCTTAAAGTAAATAATTTTCTGTATTTCCTGAAATATATGTGTTTTAAGGAAAGCCGTTTTTGATAAATTTTCTGAAGCTCAACTAGAAAATGTAATTCTGTAAGGCTGAAAGTTACACTGTAGAAAGTAGTGAATAATTTTATTGCATGCGTCTTGGTTTTTGGAATTAATCATTTTTTGTGGTGCTTTCATAATGAAATATTAATGTATGTTATGTCTACAGGTATTCATAGAAATATTTGCATTGCGAGCAGAAATTGATAAAAAAATTAAGCAAAATAATAAATGAATATTTTGAGTGAAAATAATGTGAAAATTTCTAGTTATACTTTTTAATTATAATTTATATGTAGGAAATCACTCAGCAGTTATTACTTTTGTTTCTCCTCTTAAACATGCACCCAGTTTTAAAATTTCTGATCATAATAGGAATTTTGATTATCAAGGGAATTTTTTAAAGTGTTCAGTCATACTCCCAAGTTTCACATTAGTGCAGATTTTCTGTTTTTTTTTTTTTATTATTGCTCAGCAGAGCTGAAATGATATGTATCTTTGCGAACAGTATACTATTACATACAAGAGGTGAAACATGCTAGCTTGTAATCTTGTAGGCAAAATTAAATCTTTCATATTTTTTCACATGTAAATGCAAAATGCGTATCAAGTAAGAAATAATATAAATATCATTTTGTTGTGACAGAAATAAGTTTGATATTATATATATATGTTATGAATTAACATTAAAAAATGAGGCATTTTTATTGCTTTAAATTAAAATTTAATTCCAAAAGTAAAGAGTGTATGACTTCTGGTAGATGAGAGCCAGTAATATTGGTTAATATAATTAAAATGAATTGAATTATTATATGCAATGACTTTAATCAAATTTTCAATATCAATCAAAAAGGAATCAAAATAAATGTAAATGCTTTTATATTAATCTGAGAGAAATAAATTTATTATAGTGTGTGTGTGTGTGATTATGGCAAAGCCTCGAGGGCTATCTGCCTAAGGGGAGGGATGCCTTCGTGGAGGACTTTCTAAGGGAAACTGGCTCGTATACACGTTACACATGGGGAAAACCATGAAAACGCCCATGCAGCCAGCCCGTTCGCGGGATTCGAACCTCGGACCGAACTACCAGTGTTCAGCGACTTTACCGCTCGGCCGCTGGTGGGCAAATTTATTATAGAACTTAATATCATAGGTAATTATGCAAGTATTGCTAAATTTCATGAACTATTTTTATATAACCCTTGGCATATATTTTAGTATGATTTCATTTTAAAGTAAAAAAAAAAAAAAAAAAAAACTAAAATTTAGCATAATCCCTTTACTGCAAGATTTGGTAAAAATATATTTACGGGTGCCTCTAAAAATCGCCGCTACACAAATCCAAAATAATAAGTCAAAGAATTGCACAAACTCAGTATCCATGACATCAACCTATTTTCACTTGAAAAAAATATCAGAGAATTGCACAAACTAAGCATTGTGCACTCCCTTTTATCTTTGTCCATGCACATCGATCTGTATTCACTTAAAAAAGTCAAAACAGCAGCCAATAAAAAATATATAATCTCAATAAACTACATTTTAAATCAAACAATGAAATCTCATAAAAAAAGGAAATTCATCTTTTCACTACACAAAAGGAAATATCCACTTACCTTATTTACAAATTAATATTTCTTCAGTCAAACAGAATTCCTTAACAGCATGGAAAAACTTCCTAAAATTATCTGAACTAGAATCTGTATATTAGCATCGCCACATAAATTCACAAAAATAAGAGTAAAAAATATCCTCCGACATTTGACCATACGCATTTCCCTCCTACAAACAGGACACTTATAATGGCTACTAAGTAAACCTTCATTTACATGCCAGTCAATTAATGTTTTTTCCCCTTTCATTCCAAATCGTAGAAAACTTCAATTTAATCTTACCACATTCGGCCATTTTTGCCGTGTAAATTAGGTGTATTAACAATGTACTTATCCAAAATCCGACACACAAACAAAGCTTTCCCCATCATTCAAATTCACCGCAGTCACGCAACCAATTGCGTCATAATAGTCTTTCCATAGCATTCAACTACTCAGCTTACCATAAATGAAACAACAACTTAGTGATAATCCAAGGGGCACCCTTAAATCTACTCTAACACAAAATTTGTATTATGTATATTAGGAACTGAAATTATTTAAAGAATTATTCAGCAATTTATCAGAAATGATGCATCAATGTTTGCTATAATAACCAACTATTCCATAACAATGGCTAGTGCGAAAAACGTCCACCTTATCAAAACGCATAACTCCAGATTTGTAATAGTGACATCTCATGGTAACTGCCTTTTTCTGTAGGATGTAAATATTTATTCTTATACAGCATCAATGATAATTTGAAGAGCATATATCATTTAATTTTTCAGCACTTTAATTTTTTCTTGATATGTGTAATTTTCATTTGACAACATTGTTTATATTAAAGAGCAGTTCCTTTTTCTATTCAAGTAAGCTTCAGTAGTATGTTGACATCACCTTTTGGAATGGTTGTTAGTATTAATTTGATTCAGATACGAGAAAGTACTTTTGAGTATTTGAACAAGGGCTTTATTTCAGTATGACAGAAATTATTATTTCTCCCAAAAATGAAGTGAAAGAAGAGAATTTTCGTACATTGTAGTTAAAATTAAGTTTGAGCTGAAGTGGAGTTTTTCTTCAACCACCTATTTCCACTTTACGAAATCTTACCTATATTTAGATATTTTGCTTAGGATATTTGATGTATGTTAGTCAGAAAGATATTAAAAAATATGAAGTTGACTAAATATGAGGACTTCAGAATGAAGTGTAAGAGGAGGTTCCAATGTCTGATTTCATGCTGAAATAAAATCCTTATTGTGATAGCTAATTTAAGTAGAATTCTTTGATATTACTCACTAACATCATGTCTATTGCTTATTGGGTGGTGTGTGTAAGGATACTTAGCATTATAAAGTGTTACTGATTTACTAGTACAGAGGTTACAATTGTCATGTGTAGATTAGATGATTTTAGGTTCAGTTGCCATTTGAAGCAAGATGTTTACGAATTGTTACTTTTAAGTGATGCTTGAAGTAAATTTGTTAAGTGAAAATATGAAATGAAAAACACACCTTCGATAGTAGTATAGGGATATAATTTATATTTAAAGTAAAGTGGCCATCTTTATACATGGTCTTAATGCAATCTGAGAAAATTCTGAATATCTTTCTCTTTAAAAAAAAAAAAAAAAAAAAAAAAACCGCTTATATGAAATAGACTAGGTCAGAGCATATAAAAAGGAAATAATTGATTAATCGTAGCAAAGCATTTAAGGCTGTGTTTCAAAAGGAAATATCTTCATGGAGGATTTTAGAAAAGAAATTGCATCATACCCACTTTACTCTTTGAGAATAAAAATGTACCAAACTGTATACAGCCACTCCCTTCAGCCATTAAAAACAGCACCCTAGACAGAAAGGTTCCATGATTTTAAGTTGTCTTGTTGCTAATAGGAGACAAAGAATAAAAAAGGTATTTTCATTTTTATCAGCAGAAACACTTTCATGAACTTGTTCTGTTTAGCGTGTTCCATTTTATTTGGCTAAGTTTCTAGTTGCAGCATGTTAATAATTCTGTAACATTTGGGCATTTTTACGAGGTTTTAATAACATTTAAACAGTTAATGCATTAAAATTGGATGCAAATACAGTAAACTCTCTAATAATAATAAAAAAAAATATGTTTGCAGACATATTGAGAAGAGAAATACAGCTACCACATTGAGAACAATAATATAATTCGGACTTGACTCTGTGCAGTGTTTCAATACTTGTTTTTAGTGGGCAGTTACATGTGCTTGTATAAGGATACAACAATTTAAATCATACACTAGAAAATCCAAATATGTTTTCTTAAATTGAAAAATATCAAAAAGTTATCCATTTCTATAGCAAATAAAATAATAAATTTAAAACTTTTCTTGTTTAAAAAAACTAGCATATCTCTGAAACTGAAAGGAAGTAAAGTAAAATATTTTATTGTTAAGTGTATTGTTGACGCATTTAATTTTGTATATATTATTGGGAAAGAGAGAGATGCTTACTTACATTGTGATAATAAAAATATTTTGTGGTAATTCAGGCATAGAATATTATATAAATTCTTTTTATACAAAGAAGGTTACTGAAGCTATAAGAAATTGTCGAGATAGCAAAATGCAAAAGAAGATGGGAACAATAATTTACCTGAAAAAGAAGAGATTAATTATAAATTGGTAAATGGAATTAAAATGTTCAAATCTTATTACTAGAGATAATTATTATTGTCTCATAATTCAAAATGTTTAAAAATAAATTGTACATTTTATGAAGATTACATGTAGAAAATTTATAAGCATAAAGATCTGTTTGAGATATTTAGAGCCATTTATATAAGCATTGCTGTAGCATGCTTGTGTGACATAGCGGTATTAAAAAAAAACAAAAACAGACCGATTAAAAAAAATCTTAACATGGCAAATATTCATTTTATAATAATTCAACTCTTATAGCTGCTAAAAAATGCAGAGAAAGTGCTCTGGCAGTAAATGTTACACATTGATCGAAAATTGGTTCAAATTAAATAACGAAATGAAATACAAGATGCCAGCATAAAGGAAATTTTATGTTTATTGTATAATTGTTGATGTTTCGTTTTACTTTAATCAGAGAGACATTTCAAGTGTATAAATTTGCACAGATATCCTAGATGCAACCAATTTTAAACGATTTTAACTTTTTACCAGAGTCGGC